ACATCTTGTTTCAGTCTTTCTATTTGGATTCTATATTTCTTATTCTGTGCTTATAATGTGAACCATCCAGGGTTTCATATTGATTGATTGATTGATTGATCAAATTTATATGCCCACCCATCTCATAGGAAGTGATTCTTGGAGTACAACAATCCAAAATATAAATAAATATAGAACAATCATTACCTAAAACTTATATATATTATTAAAAACATTACAAACTATAAAAGCAGAATTAAAGAACATAAAATACTAGACAATATTTAAAATAACAGAGACACCCCATGAGTTTGTCCATCCCCTGGAGTCCCCAAGCATGTTGGCATAAACAGATCTTGAGAACCAGATCTTGAAGAACCTTCAGAAGATCAGAAATAATGAGGCTGATTTCATCTCTGCGGGTAGAGGGAAAAGATTCCACAATGTGAGCACCACACGAAAAAAGGCCTATCACCTAAGGCCAAATGTAGCTTCCTAGACAATGGAACTGTCACATGCCCATTCTGTTGGTGGAATGGGCAGATGAAATTGGGAAGAGGCAATCCCTCAAATAACCCTGTCCCATGCCATCTAGGACTCAATGTCAGCACCTTGAATTGGGCCTAGAAGTAAACTAGTAGCCAATGCAACTTCTGCAGTAGAGGTGTAACGTGTGAAACATCTTACACAGAAACACCTAACTAAGAATTAAATGTATTAAAAATTATTATACTTACAACTTCAATTACATTTGCGGTACAAACATCTATAGCACGGGTGTCAAACTCACCACATTCACGTGACATCTCGCAACATATCGCGACTCTTTTTGTATTGCCGGCAAAACAGAAACCTGGTTTTCCTTTTTTATAAATGAATTGTGTAAGATAATTTCTATATGTCACTATAATTGAAATGTACTTGGTTTCAGGTTTATGGTACAGTATTATGAGACTGATTTAACTTTTAATGAAGAATTGGAGGAGTTATTTGTCCCAATCTTTCTTTGTATACTGTGTCTGTCTTATATTTATGGAGGGGTTTTTTTTTCCCCATTTGTTTATACTGCATGTAATTGTTTAGGGATTATTAAAAGAAAAGAGTGAACTGATACAAATTCAGATTGATTGACCGCAGTATAAATGTATGTGTGTATAAATGTATGGTAAATAAATTTAATAGCAATTATACTTTCCCATTAGCAAGTGTACATATCAGTGAGTTGCAAAGGGATGCAACACTGCCATCTACTGGTTTAATAACCAATCTTACAAAAAATGCTAATATCGACAGCATATTCTGAATTTGAATGATAGGGAATATTTATGATGGCTGAATTATAGCTCCCAGAAATTCAAGCCAACTTGACCAATTGGAGTAACATCTGAAAGTTTACAGCTCTCCCACAAACTCATTATTCCCCTCCCCCCATTATGGGTACACAGTGATAAAAGATAGAAATACATTCATCCAGCAGAGCATTATGTAAAATCCTATTTACATGTACAGATCCACATTACTCTTTGTTCACAAAATACACATAGGCTAATCCCATGCCAGAGCAACTGCATTATGCTGTCAAATTTCCATGACTATATTCATATATTAGACAATTGTTAATCACCCTTAACTGTTTTAGTATTAGTATATAACCCTTAAGAGCTGGCAGCATACTTCAGCAATTCCGAAGTATGTGAAGTCTGATGTACTTTACACCAGAGTTTCTCAATCCTGACAACTTTAAGATTTGTAGACAGAGAAAGGAACAGTGGTTTGCAGATTATTCTGTCAGGAATGCAGCCAATTGGCCATCCAAGTGGGAACAATTCAGCACTTATTGGCCACCTGAGGCTGATGTACACACACCATTATTGTTTATGCCCCTGGGCTTTCTCCTCTGCCATCATTGTTTTCCATCCTCTTGTAACCTGATTTGCTCCCTATTCCTAAATTCAACCCTAATCAGTGCACTACCTCAACTCTCCAGTCTCCCCCATGAGGCCAAAAATATCCTTTGTAGCAAGCAGTTCACTCTTATAAAGAAACCAGCACCCTTGTGCTCTAGAAGGAGGATGGCAAGAAGGCAAGTGGGTCTGCAGAGGTCAAAAAGGTGAAGATGGTGATCATGACCAAAAGCAAGGTAATGATCACAACTGTAGGATTGAAACTTCACCACTGGGAGCAGGGCTTTGATCCCAGAACAATGGCCACCATCTTGACTTTTTGACAATACCAGCAGATGCCTTGCATGCGTGTCTGGCTGACTGGCAGAAAACTTAATTTGGGTTGAACTCAGGGGGCTTTTAGAAAATCCACTTCCATTCCTCCTGGCTAAAAAAAATTCTGCAGTAATAAGGAATAAACAAATAGATTAAAAGTAGTCCCACAATGAATCTTTTCAGATAAGCATATGGATATAAGGTGATATATACAGACATACATGTCCTTACATACCTTGTTGGTAAAATAATGACTGTGGCTCTCTTTTGAAATCCTATAAGCCTTCTGCGCAATATTTATATGGTCAAAAGAAAAGACTGGAGATTTAAACTGGAATAAATAATTGAAATTCAGAAATATGGTAGCTAATCATCCTAATTCTGTTCATACACATAACTGTTCACACACACAAAATTGAGTGCTTCATGCATTTGTCCAGAAGATGGCAGTCGATAAATACTATACCAGTATTTTTACTAGAACAAGTTAATTCTTCATTAAATCCTTTAATTAACAGATACATTATGATAAAATATTTCTTATTTGTTCATTTGCAAACCAATTTGTTTCTCATCTTACATTAATGGTTCACATTAAAGTCAATCTTAGTTGCCACTTAAATCTGATCAACAGCCTTATCATTTTAGTCAAAGCAGGTCTATTTTATTATCCCTATACTTTCAATCAACTATCTTTAAACTGAAAAAGTTTAACCTCCCTTAGAGTTGAGTTACAATAGCATTATTTGAGAAATGGAATTCTCATATTCTACCAAGTTATCTGCTGTTTGTAATACCTTGCTAATTTGTTTTGGGTAGTGGGAATATCAAAAATGACTTAAATAATACCATATTTACCTAATGGAAAGGTGAGATTGCTTTTTCTCATAATTAGAATGCATACATTCATATGCTGATGGTGCAGTCCTATATATTAAGGGCGGGTGACCTTTAGGTGACTAAGAAACATACTTAATTTTTATAAAAAGTACTTTACAAAAAGCTTTCATATGGTACACCCACAAGCAAAGACAGGAACTGGAGGGTATCCTGGTTTTTATGAAAGGGTTAATAAAGTGTTGTTTTTTAAAGTGATGGATAAAAAATGTATAGTTTTGAACTAAAACATTTCAGAAACCTTGAATCTTTCATTCTTCATTTGTATTACCCCAATCTGGACATTCCAACGATGGTCCAACATTTTTCTGGAACAATATGCTTTGTACAGATATATTTTTAAATGATGCCAAGCATATTTTAGGACTTAAATTACAATAGTTCTGTTCACATCTCAAAATAGGAAGAAAGGATGATTCTGATTTTGGTAACTTTTATCAAAAGTGTGTTCAACAGCCCCCCAAATGGGAACCAGAGGCAACATGTAGCCATGGGATGCCAAACTGCCTGCCCCTTCTAAAAACCATATGCAGAATACAGTATAATAGAATTGGAAAGGACCTTGGAGGTCTTCTAGTCCAACTCCCTGCTCAAACAGGAGACTCTATACCAGAGTTCCCCAACCTTTTGGGATTGCCGGCTGAAGTGGGGGGGAGGGGGGAAAGAAGGAATGGTTTTTTGGGGGTGAACGCATGTATGCATGAGTGTGCACGCAGAGTGGGGCCATGAATACTGGCAACACTCATACAAGTGGGGCTGGACACAAGCATGCACACACACAAACCAGCCAGCCACTCATGCAGCCCTGTGTCCAATAGGCCGCAGCCAGGTAGTGGGCCACCGATTGGGGACCCCTGCTTTATAGCATTCCAGGCAAATGGCTCTCCAATCTCTTTAAAAATCTCCAGTGATGGAACATCCACAACTTCCGGAGGCAAAGCTCTTCCATTGGTTAATTGTTCTCAGGAAATTTGTCTTTAGTTCTAGGTTAGATCTCTCCTTGTTACTTCATCTTCTGCTTCTTGTCCTGCCCCCATGTGCTTCCCCTCTTCTCTGTGACATCCCCTCAAATATTGGAAGACTTCTATCATGTCACCCTAATCCTTTTAGTTAAACTAGACATACCCAGAATTCCTGCAAATATTCATCATGTTTTAGTGTCATTTCCTAATCATCTTTGCTGCTCTTCTCTGCAGCTTTCTAGACTCTCAACATCTTTTTAATATTGTGGCAACCAAAATTAGATGCAGTATTCCAGGCGGGGTTTTCCAAAGCAATATAAAGCAGTGCTAACACTTCTGGTAATCTTAATACTATCCCTCTGTTGATGCAGGCTAGAACTGTATTGTATGTTTTCCTAAATTTCTTCTCAATTTCTTATGTAAGTTCTCCTAAATTCTGTTTAGATAGATTTACATCATTTACACAGGATTACACTACAATAAACATGTATCTCTGCTCCAGTCAGCTTCTAAGACAATGATGAACCTAAATGTCATATTTGCCCGATTTACTGCTTGGTCTCTTTGTGTCCTCTTTACCGCCCTTATTACTGGCATTTAATGAATGGGGAGAGATGAAATCGGTCCTTTTCTCGGCTGCTACAACTTTTAATAAACATCTCAAGCGCAGATTCAAACGGCACAGGAAGACACTCTTGTGGTTCTGCAAGCAGGAACTGTTTTTAAAAAGCCAAAAAGCCTAAAAGTATGCATCATACATCAGGACTTCAGGCTGAAAATGAGACTGCCAGGATCCGTATCTGATCTCTTCCACGGTCCACAGCTACACTTTTGAAAGGAAAACCTCGCGTTTTCTAAGCATCACTCCACCCGTTAGTGTCGCGTGCGTTCATAATAATGGTCCTAAAAGAGCGCGCGCGTCGCACGCCCAAGAGGCCGGTTGTTTTCACTGCAGCGGTTGCGCATGCGCTGTCGAGAGCGCCCAGGGTAGTGAGTCTCTTGACGCTTGAGAGCGGGCGAGCTGGGTTGAGGTGGCGGTGAGGGCGGCTGCTGCCATGTGGTTCTCTGTTCGTTTTCGGACTGCCTTTCCGCGCTTGGTAAGGAGGGGGCCAGGAAAAGATGGGGTCCTTAAAGGAGCAAGTTGGGCGCCGTTAGCGATCTCGGAGGAGAGTTAAGAGCAGCCAAGGGCATAGTGGCCTTCCTCTCCGGGAAGGGGAGGAGCCTGAGGTTCGGGCTGTTGTACCTCATTTCCTTGGCGGAGGAGAAGCGAAGAGAGCAGTAGGGCAGGCTGGGTGTCAGAGCAACGCTATTTTGCTAGAAGCGGCGGGCCTAAACCTGCAAGCGAGGGGAAGATGGATGCGGAGCGAACCATTTGTGCCTTCAGATCGCTCCGAAAATCAGTCCGTCTCAATTCTCAGATTCGTTTCATTTGTGCTAATTCGCATGTGTCGAACTAGGTGATGGTGGCATAGGACCGAAATTTGCAATCTTCATGATTGCCCGAACAGTTTTTCTACCTCTTGGTTACCACAAAGGTCCTCCGCGTTAAACTATACTCTATACCAGTGTTTCTCAACCTTGACAATTTTAAGGCATGTGGACTTCAACTCCCAGAATTCCACAGCCAGCAATGCTGGCTGTGGAATTCTGGGAGTTGAAGTCCACATGCCTTAAAATTGTCAAAGTTGAGAAACACTGCTCTATACCATAGCTGATTAACGGAACACAGGAGCTGAAATTGTATTAATGTAAGCAGTGTTTTCTACATAAATTTGAGTTGGATAGTTAACGCATATTTGAAACTGTTATGGTCTGTTATCCTATGTTATCAGGTAACATTGGTGTGGAAAATATATGAATATTAATTTCTGAATGAAGCCTGATTCTTACAGATCAAGAGTTAGAAATACAAAAATCAAAAGGTTTACTGTGCATCTTTCCTTTTATAAAGTCCAAGATATTGAGCGCTTCCTGATTCTATCATTTTTTTAATAAACAGAAAAAAGAATAGTATACCAGACAAGAAGTGGGCAATATGTTTACATTTGTACACCATACATTATTTTTGTATTTGTATGACCTGATTATTTTAGATGGACTCTGCTCATTCCAGAAAACTTTTGCTACCCAGGATACTATTAAAATTTCAAATAAGTCCATTAATATAGCAGTCATATCTTGTAGAATGTTTCCTTGATCAAAATTATATGTCAATCAGCTATATATCTGGCTAATAGCTGCACCAACATTGTTTTCAAACATTAATTCCTGTACATTTGGTTGAATATCTGTTGTATCTACTGCATATTGTTTTTTGCATGGAGGCTACCAAAGCATAGATTATTTCATGGAATTGAAGAGGTCATTTAGGTTAATTATTAGCCCTTCAATAAGTGCAGAAATAGAAATTAAGATAAATTAGATGGTCTGGATGCATTTATTAATCTAAGAATCTTTTTGCCAGTTGTGTAACTGTTTTCATAAATTTGGTAAACAAAAAACCTCTAGACCAAGCTACCATTTCAATTATCATCTTGCTATACCCCATTCCTGCTATCTTTTCTCATGGCTAAATATGCTATACTCCTGCAATTTCTCTCCATATGACTTAACTTTTTAGTCTGCCAATCATCCCATTGCTATTCTCTGAATTTATTCAGTTCGTCAGAATCTTTTAAGGGAGGGTGCCTAGAACTAAACACTGTGTTTTGAGATACTTTATTCTGAGCACACTAAAATGGGTTAAACAACTGAGCACAATTAAAAGTGGAATTCTTAACTTCCTGGGTTTGGAAATTTTATTTCTGTTGATGAGATCTAAAACTGTATTTTCTTTTTTTTATTGTCAGATCATATTGTTATTATTCCAAGATTATATTTCACAAGAATTCTTATCAAAACAAGTAAAGCACTTTTTCCTTTTGATTTAATTTTTGTTACCTAAACAAAACTCTCTACAATTTTCTCTGATAGATTTCATTCAAATCATTTATTTTATTCCATTCTATTATTTTCAGCTTGTATCTCTAATGTGGCAACGTTGGGTTGAATTTGATTTCTGGTTTCTAAGAAATTAGCATACATATCTTACCTAAATTGAGTATTATGCACAACTTTGGTACGCATTTCCTTATAAATATTAAAATGTTCAAAAAATCCAGGCATGATCGTTGTGATATCTGACTTAATATTTTCAGTTAATATGTACAGATTGGAAAGACCTTAGAGATCATCTTCAATTTCCTGCTCGCTGCAGAAATCCACCTAAACATCTGACTGATGGCCTTTATTTAAATCAGGGGTTCTCAACCTTGGCAACTTTAAGACTTGTGGACTTCAACTTCCAGAATTCCTCAGCCAGCTGAGGAATTCTGGGAGTTGAAGTCCACAAGTCTTAAAGTTGCCAAGGTTGAGAACCCCTGATTTAAATGCATCCAGGGAGAGAGCCACTCATCTCCTAACTAGAGTCTTCCAAAATTGAACTGCTCTTATCAGCAGGAAATATTTCCAATCACCAATTCTGTTTTCCACTGCTTCATTATTTTTTCTGTAAACATTCTAGTTGTTTCCAAACATTTGATGCTCTAATGATTTCATAAGGAAACAAACACTTTTTATAATCAATCCACACATGCAAATTGGGATTTCAGCTGTTGTAATTCTGCAATACCATTTTATCAATCAGATACCGATTTTTTTGTATTTTTTTTCCTTTTACTTTCTTTCTGTCCTACTGAAAAGATATTATTTTCTGCTAAATCTTAGATTTGTCTACTATTATGCTTGTAAATAATTTAAACTCTGTATGCAAATTTGTTATTGGCCTATAATTTCCTGGTGTGCTTTTGCTGGGTCTTTTGAATCAGATAAGTTTTGTCAGTTATTAATCAGTTACTGATGTCTCCTTTATGCAGTAGTTCATTGCATAAACTAGCTGGATGTCAGCTAGTCAGATATCTAAGCTAGAAGCTATGCAATTGATCATTTACAAAAAATGTCCATTTTTAAAATTCTTTTCATTCAATTGTTAACTATTTCTGCTGTTGTTAATTCTACCATTTAATTTTTACTAAATTCATTTTCAAATTCATTTATCCCTTCAGCATTTTTAATATAGCTTTTCTAAAATTTCCCATAGATCTTTCCAAAACTGGATTATTTTCTTTTTGTTTGGTTTTCCATTTTCAAAATTTGCCATTTATACTCTGGTAGAATTGCCTCTGGTCTGATTGAAATAGCTGATTTTGCTTAAATTGGATGATTCATGCATCAGTTTTCCCAGCTATTGCTTTTATTGGTTGCTTTATGATTTCCAAAGCTTCTTCAATTTTTCTGATGCTAAGATTTTTTTAAACTAGATTTGTCTTTATCCTTACATTATTAATTTTTACTCTTTCATGTTCTTTAAATTACTTGTATCTGATCTTAATTATTTTATTTTGGTTTCCAATGTGACCCTCTTTGGGATTAAATATGGTTTTGCTTTTAGTTTTCTAATTTTGATACCCAATTCTTCTGCAACCATCACTGTTTGACAGTAAGCAAGCTGATTGAGATATTACTTTAATCCTTGCAAGACCCTTATTCTTATCCTTCATGATTATTTTGCAGCTATATCATGCTTTTGGCTTATATTCACTTGTGATTCACCAAGACTTAAGATCAGTGGTGGGATTCAAACACCTGAACAACTGGTTCTCATAATTGATGCAGGGCCTCCGATGCCTAAAACGGACTTCCGGAAGTGGCATGATGCACCTCTGGTGGGCTGTTCTAAGCCTGGGAGGACTCCTCCAAGGCCTAGACTTCTGGAAGCCAGCCGGTTCTCTGAATTCAGGTAAATTTAGCTATCGGTTCTCCTGAACCAGTGCAAACTGGCTAAATCCCACCACTGTATAAGATGTATTTTCAATATATTGCTGACAGTAATGGTCATCCTGTATTCAATTTTTTTTACTTTTAGCTACCCAAACACACAAATTTGCATTTGTCCCCATTGCAGCTTTCTGCTTACTTTTCCAATTTGTTAAGATCCTCCTGTCAAGATGAGGAATCATTGATGAGCATTCTTTCAAGATTTGAGTCAGCCGAGTATCTATTGTCAGAGTATCTGATCCACGCTTAACTAACTTGCTAATTAACTCAACACTGAATACTTTGTTAATTTTTTGCAAAATTAAGGTTGTAAGATTCCTACAATCCATTAGGAAAATTACATGATCAAAAAGAAGTCACGTTAGCCTAGCCAGATTGGTTCTGATTTCTGGCAATTACTACAGTATTTTCAGGGTACTGTATCCTTTTATTATCTGCTCTAGAATTTTAGTAGTCTATAGTTTGTTGGAGCTTGGTCTCCTCTCCTCTTCTCTTGAGTTATTGACATTTGCTATCATTCATTCAGCTGTCATTTTATCAATTGTCCAGAATTCCTCAATCCCTATAGCTTTGGCTAGTTCATTTGGTCTGGAGTTTTAAACTCAAATCAAAAAAGTACTGTATTCCCTCAGCATGTTTCTATCAAAAGCCTTTATTCATGTAGGCAGATATATAGAAGGAGATGGTTGTGGTTAGTTATGTCACAAAAGCACGGAAGATTCTGTTGATAGGATGCCTTTTTTAAGGAAAGGAGCTTTATTGGGATTTCTAAAGAGCATGCTATTGCAAGGTGAAATTCAAGCTGTTTATATCTTTTCTGTTCTAAACTTCCTGCAAGTAATTTCTTCTTTTGAATCATGGAGATTTAGGTGCAGGTAAAGGACAAATTTGAAATGCTAATACATCTTTTTTTTTTCTCTAATGTATTGGGTGAATCACTGCCTCCATCGGCGAAAACCAATTTGGAATTTTCCGATAGTGTCTTTTTTTTATTTTTTCCCATATCCCGATCAATGCTCCTCTTATCTGATGTTGCTGGAAATATGTATATATTTTCTTCTATTTCCCCCATAGGAATACAGGCCAGCCCGTCTGTAAATCATGTCCCTCAATCATTAGTATCCTTTTGTTATCCAAGTTTATCCAGTCTTTGATCCATAATAACCCTGCTGCATAATAATAGATTTCCCATTTAGGGAATCCAAGACCACCTCTACTCTTACTATCTTGTAGCGTTTTCATATTTATCCTGGCTTTTTTGCCCGCCCAAATAAATTTGTTTATTGCTTTATCCAATTCTTTAAAAAAAGTTTTCTCTAATTTTATTGGAATTGTTTGGAATAAATACAATAATCTTGGTAGTATATTTATTTTAGTCAATGCAATCCTGCCTAATAGTGATAATTGGAGTTTCCCCCAGGTCTCAAGATCTTGTTTCATTTTTAGTATCAATTTTGTATAATTGTCTTTTATTGAGGAACACCTTGAGGTTAACCAAATTCCTAAGTATTTAATCTTTTTCACTGCTTGTAATTCCAAATTCTCTTCCAGTTTCCTTTTTTGTTTATCGGTTAATTTTTTACTAACATTTTAGTCTTTTCTCTATTAATTTTTAATCCTGCCACTATTCCATATTTTTCTATTTCGCCCATCAAAATATTTCCTCTCTATAGATTCCTCAATGAAGAAAACCAGGTCATCAGCAAATGCCTGTACCTTATATTCCTCTGTTTTGACCTGTACCCCTTTTATTTCTTTATTCGCTCTAATTTGAACTAATAATATTTCAAGAGTCAAGATAAAAAGTAGAGGTGAAATTGGGCATCCCTGTCTTACCCCTTTGTTTATTTCAAAACTTTTTGTGTTCTCTCCATTAATTATCACAGTAGCCCTCTGTGTTCTGTATATTGCCTTTATTATGTTACTGAATTTCTCACCAAATTTCATATCTTCAATCTGTTGAAACATAAATTGCCAATTGAGGCTATCAAATGCTTTCTGCGCGTCTAAAAAGATCAAAGCTGCCTGTTTCCTGGGTGTGTTTCATAATACTCTAGGACATTTAACATTGTTCTGATATTGTTTCTAATTTGTCTTTGGGGTAAAAAACCATTTTGGTCTGGATGTATTATATCCTGTAAAATTAACTTTAGTCTTTCAGCCATTATATTAGTAAAAAATTTTGTAATCCGTATTTAACAGCGAGATTGGCCTATAATTTTTAATTTGTTTGGGGTCTGTGCCTTCTTTTGGGTTAAGAGATATGATGGCTTCTATCCAGGAGTCTGGTAATTTAGATTTCTCCAACACATCATTATACACCTCCAGTAATAACTTTTCAAAATCTTCGTGGAAGATTTTATATAGCTCCCCTGGAAGGCCATCTGGTCCCGGGGTCTTATTGTTTTTTTGTTTTTGCACTGCCCTTTTTAATTCTATAACTGTTATTTCCCACTTCAGTATGTCTCTTTGTCCTTCTTTTAATTCTGGCAGACCATTAACCTTTAAATATTGTTTAATCTTTTCCCCGTCTATTTCATCTTTTTTATAAAATGACTCGAAGAAGGTTTGAATTATTTCTTTCTTTTTGTCCATTTTGTATTGTAACTCTCCTTTTCTATCATAAAGTTCCTGAATAATTTTTTTCTCTTTCTCTTTTTTTAGTTTATAAGAGAGCCATCTCCCAGGTTTATTTGCACGTTCAAAAAAATTTTGTTTGGCCAATTTCAATTCTTTAACTCTTTCTTCTTGCTCCATCAAATTTAGTTTATATTTAGCTAATACCATTCCCACTTTGATCGATTCATTCTGAGGCTCTTTTTGTAATTTAGATTCGAATTTTTTAATCTCTTCCTGTAGCATATTTTGCCTTTGTTTTTTCTCCCTATTTTTTCTTGCTATATAGGCTATTGCTAGTCCCCTTAAATACGCCTTCGCTGTGTCCCAAATGGTTTGTATTGATGTTTGTTGTTTTGTGTTTTCTTTAAAGAAATAATCCATTTCCCTTCTAGTCTGTACAATAAATTCTTTTTCCTTCAAAATATGCAAATTCATTACCCATCTTTTTCTTACTTTTTTATGTCCTTTCCAAATTATTTCCAACGGGTTGTGATCTGCCCATATATTTGGCTTTATTTCTATAGTGTCTATATCCTGTCCCAATTCTTCATTTGTCCATACCATATCTATTCGAGACCATGATTTATGTGGGTTTGAAAAGAATGTATATCCTTTTTTTTTTATTATTTCTCTTTCTCCACTGATCCGATAGGTTAAGTTCATGTGCCAGATCAAAGAAGGTCTTTGGTAATATTTTCCTTTTCTTTTTATTTTTCTTATCACTCATATAATCTTTTTTTGCATCCACCACCGCATTATAATCACCCACAATACAAATATTTTGATGACCCAATTCTATCAATTTCTCATGTAATTTATAATAAAAGTTATATTGGTTCTCATTCAGTGCATATATTACTAGTAGCAACCAGGTTTTCTGTTCAATTTGTATTTCTATTATTAGTACTCTCCCATCTGTATCTTGATATTTTAAATTTGCATTTATCTCTTTTTTAATATAAACTGCTATTCCTCTTTGCTTTTGTTCAGCTAATGCTGTATATAGTGATCCTAATTTGGGAAACTCTAAGTACTTCCTATGTTGTTCTTTAATATGTACTTCTTGTAAGCAGACAATGTCTATGTGTTGTTTGGCTAGTTTTGTTAATATTTGTTTTCTCTTTGCTGGTGCGTTTAGTCCATTAATATTAATAGATAATAACCTAATCTCCTTTTCTATTTTCTACTTGTGTGTTTTACTTGTGAGCTTGTCTTGTTCTTAGGCCTGGTCCTTTCTCCTTCCTCTGTCCGTTTTCTCCCTTACTTTCTGTCCCTCGTTCTCTTTCCCTAACTTCTTGTTGTTGGTCTTCCTGACTTTTAGATTCTAGTTCTTCCTTACTACTGATCTCTTCCTCAGTTCCTTTTAATTGATGATGATTAGATACAAAGACTTACTAGATAACCAAGGAAATCTTAAGTCAGGAGAAGAGTTGGAGGAACAAAGAATACCCATAGGCTGGTGGCCCTATTTACAAATTCAATCTAGATATAATAAGGATAGGCAAGAATATGGAATAAGTCAGACCCCACATCAACTTGATAAAATTCTAATAAGTAAGGAAGGAAAATTATTATCAAAAAAATATAGATACTTATTAGAGATAGAGTTAGAGGAAGAAATAGTGAAGGGGTCGATGATAGCATGGGCACGAAATGTGGGGCGAAATATAAATTTAGAGGAATGGGAAAGATTATGGAACATAAATTGCAAATTGACGCTATCAACTGCATACAGGGAGAATCAATATAAAATGATTTATAGATGGCATTTAACACCGGCGAGATTGGCCAAAATGCATAAAAACATGGACCCGAAGTGCTGGAAATGTAAAATCAGAGAAGGAACATTTTATCATACGTGGTGGCTGTGCCCCAAAGCAAAAAACTATTCAGAACGAATAAGAGATTGGATACAGGAGATAACTGAGGTACAAATGGACTTCAAACTGGAATTATTTCTTTTCAGCATAATAAATTTAAAGATTGAAAAACAACTCCAACACATCATTATACACATATTGACTGCAGCGCGGATAGCATATGCTCAATGTTGGAAGAGTGAAAATACACCCACAAATGACATGATTATGTATAAAATCTTGGAATGCATAGAAATGAATAAACTTACACTGGAATTAAAAGACAAGGAGGCGACAGAATTTTATGAAATTTGGAATAAATGTTATAATTGGCTAGAACAGAGAAAGAAAAAGATATAATTAGTGATGTAAATAAAATGTAAAGAAGATGTAAAGAACGTTTAAAATGTACAGCACTGTTCTGTTAAAAGAAAAGATTTATGTTTATGTATTTTAAGTTTGTTTTGGTGTATGGTGTATGGTGAAAAAGAAAATAAAAAATTAAACAAATGCTAATACATATTATTACAGATATTATTACCTACTTTTTCATTTAATATTATATACTTTTGGTTTATATGTAGTGCAGACAGACTATCAGCAGTACAGTAACTTTAAATAGACCCATCTAATTCAGTAAGGATTTAAGCATAATTTAAGGTTGGCTCAATTTCTTAGCTGTAATTGCAAATACAAACTATGTGCTCTTTATATGAAATATTTGTAGATGACAAATCTTCGCTGCCTTCATACATCAGCAGAATGCAGAAGTAGTGATGGAACTCTGTTTGTGGTAAGTAGTTTGCATAAATGATTATATAAAATGTTTAGTAAAATGGAAAAATGTGGTTTTTATTTGTGTGCAATTTGTTAACACTATTTATAACAACATTACACTTCCTTTCTATTAGTAATAATAAAACTGCTATACATAGTCTTGTAGGTGATTGCATATATGATTGCTGTTCTTGGCAAATATATCAACCTACTGAGCTATCATGTTTAGAAAAGTTTATTTTGTTTAGTGGAATATATTTCCAACAAGCATGTATCAGCCCCCAAAGTATAAATGCTTGTCTGTTATATACACATATGTCCTATTTAGCAGTCGTGTATAGATTTTCTGCATTAGTTTTACATACACAAAATGACATATACAGAATGCATAAGTTTACCTGACCAGATTTCTGTTTTTGTCAACTGTGAAGTAGGATAGAAAGTTGGAAATAAAAAACATATTTTGTAACTTAAAAAGTGTACTTATTGAACAATTAGTGTAGTGTGGTGACAGTATGTATTGAGGATTAGCAGCATATTTAGTTGTTAAATTAAACTTTATAATAACATTGAATTTCTAGCAGTATAAATTGATTGTATATAAACATTGAAATTTTGGGTTTAAAATATTGTGTTAAAAGCATTTTGGTCATTCCAAAGAAAAAAATATTAGATTAGACGACCTTCCCTACTCCCATCACGGTTCATCTAAAACTTTAAAGTTTCTGCTAGTTTTTTTCAGAAAAATATGAAAATTTTCTTTTTTTCACTATTGGTATCGTCCTGTATATGTCTTACATTTGTGGTACTGTGTATTCTTTATTCCAAACAGTTCTGTATCCTTTTTCCTTATATTTAATTAGGAAATTAATATGTTTACTAATACTTCTTATATAGGACTAGTACCGTCTCTTGTCACATTCTTTGTACTTTCACTTTTATTTCTTTAATTTCCTTCCTTTAATCATTTCTTTCTACAAAAACATCTGTCCCATATTCAGAATTTCCTGTCACCTGTGTATCTTTCATTCTTAAACTTCCATTACAAGCTGTCAGATCCATCATGTTTTAAAATTCCTATTTATTCCTTTTTCATGTCTACACACCAGTTCTTAACTATATACTCTAAACCAGGGGTGTCAAACTGCCGGCCCACAGGCCAGACGCATCATGCGGAAGCTGCGCCCACCCCATTACCGGCAATAGCAAAACCGTCCCGATACGTTGTGCGACATCACGTGACGTCGCAAGTTTGACATGCTTGCTCCAAACAAATCAATACTTTTCTAAACAGATATTCACCAATCACAATTCTCATTCCCTCTTGGATCCCTGGATAGTTCAGTGTCTTTTAACAGTGGCCCCCAACCTTTTGGGCATCAGGCACTGGTTCCGTGGAGAAAGGTGTTTCCATGGACCGGAGGGGGCATGGTTTTGCATACTGCCTGCATCCCGCAGATGGGGCTTTGTTTGTGCGACCCAATTTCTGGCATGCATGGCCCTGTGCCAGTCCATGGACCAGGAGTTGGGGACCCCTGTTTTAATATACACTGGCATTAATACTTTTCCATTCATGTTACCTAACCAAGTAATGTTTATCTTCTTATTCAAAATATTGTGGGAAGTTTCTCCTGAAATTCACACATGGTTCTTTCATTAGCCCCGTTCAGTGGAGTGTAACATGCAACTATCACTAACTACAAATTACTGCCTGTATAGGTTTCCTTAACAGTCTAAATGTTTCCAAGTCATTTTAAACATATTTCAGCTTTTTTGTTTGTAATTAAACCTTCATTTCCCTACATGCCTTCATCAGTACAGTCCATAAGTTGAAACCATCATTATTCATATGTTATATCCATCTCTTCTTCTTAGCTACAGAAAAATACAGTATAGCCCAGTGATGGTGAACCTTTTAGAGACCAAGTGCCCAAACTGCAACCCAAAACCCACTTATGTATGGTCGGGTGCCAGGTGGGCAGGGCCCATTGGGTGGGCGTGGCTGCGGTGGTAACGGCAGACTGGGTGTGATTAAAAGTTCAATCAATTCCAACTTTGTGAGATCTTTTTTTTGCCCGTGGGAAGTTGAAATTGATTGATTGAACCTTTTTTTTTTTTTTTTTGCTGCACACGGCCGCGGAGGCCTAAAGCGAAAAGGTTTTATAAAACCCAGCTGAAGGCCTAGGACTGAGGTGATGGAACGTGTGCCCCAAAAGAGGGCTCTGCCCTCGTTTATTCCATTTAAATTTTAAAACTCAGTGTTCCATATAGCATGGTCATCACTTATTTGCTTTGTTTGTTTTTTGTTTTGAAAAAATGTGGCACAGGGGTAGAGAGGGGAGTAAGTAAGGAAAAGGTTTTGGGAAGCTCATCCTGAAGCTGCCTTTTTTTGCAAGGGCTGGCTTCCCAAAACCTAGAGAGGTGGGAGAGCTTTGCAGCTTCCCTGCTTGTCAGCTGATCAGGATCAACAGACAGGTGCAGAACACTTGGAAAGCAGCCACCATTTTAAGGATAATGAAAATGTCACTGCTTTCAAGAGTCACTGGGAGACCTAATGCTGCAGGGGATGAGGGGGGAAGACCTGGCAGGGAAAGGTCCTGCAGAATCTCCGTGGTCTATCGTAAGTATGAATGACTGCGGGAGCTCTGCATCTGTTGTAACTTTGAAGAAACAGGTTTGTAGGTACATTTGGGGTGTTCGGTTGTTGTTCTGAACAGTTGTCACAGGGCCTGTCGTTTCTTAAGGATTACCTGTACTGTAATATTTGACTGGGTACAATAAGTTTTAGTTTTAGGTGATCAGTTAAATGGCATGCAACTGTATAGGTTATCATAAACTTTTATTTTTCAATTCTGCATCCAGTTATTGCAAAGTTATTTTCATAATGCAATTTGCTTACATAATAAATATATACGTTGAAACGATGATTAAAGTATTCACTAGTACACTTCTTTCATATCCCGTGTGATATATAGCGTGATGCAACATTTTATTTCTGAACTACTGAGTAGACTGATGATACATAGATGGTTCCTATAATTCAGCTGCTATTAGAACTTTTCATATCTTCATAAGAGGAATCTCTCCTCATGAAGTATAATAATTATTAAGATACAAGAGCTATAATTTTTCTATATGTAACTATCTGAAATTTGTTTTCTATGCATTTTTCATCATTTTATTGTAATTTGTACAGCACAGAGATACTCCTGAAAACAATCCAAGTACCCCATTTGATTTCACTCCTGAAAATTATAAGGTATGTTTTTTTATATTGTTTTAAATTACTTTGGCTTTTATGCCATTTTAGTTCCTTTTTGATGACCTTTCATGTTTTAATGGATGAAATGCTGTATTTCTATTTCAATAAAAATTGGTTATTGTAATATTTATTTTCTTTAATAGAGGATAGATGTAATAGTAAACAACTACCCAGAAGGACATAAATCTTCGGCAGTAATCCCAGTCCTGGATTTAGCTCAAAGACAACATGGATGGTTACCTATATCGGCTATGAATAAGGTACTTCTCTTTAATCTGATAATTTAGCATATATTTAACTGAACAATAACTATAGTAACACAAAATAATTTTAATATTCGTTAGGCACCTCTCTTAAAACCTCTCTTAATTTAGATTGTTGTCAGGTTATATAAGGAAGTTTTTCAGTCTTAAAAATATTCAGATAATAACTTCAGGTTGTACTCTGCAAGAATTCTGTAAATTCTAATTTAGGAAAATTAAGACATTATGAGATTTGTATTGCTTCTGCTAAAAATAGCAATATATGTAAATATCTTTATTCAAATAAAAATGATCTTCTATTTATAGGTTGCTGACATTCTACAAATGCCTCCTATGAGAGTTTATGAAGTAGCAACATTTTATACAATGTTTAATCGTAAGCCTGTTGGGAAATATCATATTCAAATCTGCACTACCACACCTTGCATGCTTCGAGATTCAGATAGTATATTAGAAGCCATTCAGAAGAAGCTTGGTATGAAACAGCACTTAATTTTCCTGTATCATGAGCATGTTCTTGTTGTATTGACTTTTCTTACTTAATCCAATTTATATTTGTACTCTGAGAAGCATATTTGCAAAGAAACATGATCACGACAGTTGCCCTTGTACCCTTTAGAACTGGACAATAGGATTTTTTTTAGCTGTTGATGGTGGAGCTGCATAGCCTGAGAGGCTGGTTTATAGCTAAGAAAAGGGGGAAAAGGAAATAGGAGCCTGGGAGAAAAGAAGCCAGTAATTTGAGAACAGAAGTTATGGGAGGTAATTAAGAATATAGGTGGTCCTTGACTTATAACAATATTAGTCATTCAGTGAAGAGATTGTTAAATGAGACATTACAAGATTGTTCAGTGACTGCAATCTCAGGACTCCCAGTTATTATTGAGCAATCGAGCAGGTTGTTAAGTGATTGGAGTCACAGGTAAGGTGCGTGGGATGCCTCAGGGTGTAGGGGAGACCCTGGGAGGACCCACTCAGGCCTTGAAAATCCTCCATGCCAAAAAACCAAGCAGGTTTTTTAGCCTGATGAGAAAGACATTTGCATGCATCTTGCATTGGGCCTTTCGGGGCCTCTCCAACCCCCCCCTCCCCAAGTATCCCAGTAGTGCATATCTGCAACTTCCCCACACACTCCATAGTGTGCTCCACCCACCTCCGCTTGCACAGCACCATAGTGCACTCTCCCCTTTCATTTGGAAAGAATTTAAAGACAAGATAGAGATTAATGAAAACAAAAATCTCTGCTCTTGTAGCTTGAAACTCAAAACACTAACACACAACCTCCCCCCCCCATAGGGAATTACAGACCCATCTTACAACACTTTATCTGATTAAATATCCCAGAAATATCCTGATCTCTTTTGTATACAACTACTATTGTCGCAATAGTACAATTTAGTTTCCTTGAATATAACTAAGTTTTATTACGCTGTCAATAAAATTAGGTAGACCTTGATCACCCATTGATGATCTCACTATCAATTGTAATATATTACTGTATCTTGTTCTGTTTGGTTTTGTTACGTTTTGCTTTATTTTAATCTTTAATTTTTTGTACTGATCTGTGACCATAATAAAAATTGAATATTTTTAACATAAAACAGAATAGGGAAGAAAAACAAAAATAAGAAACTCAGACACTACCTTTTAATGTGTTTCTTGAAAAAAATGGGCAGTCATAATGAAATCAGTTCTTTAAAAAAAAAAAAAAAGCCAAGATTGTGACCTGATGTTTCCATTGAAATGGCTATAATAAAGCTGATTTTATTTGATGATGCTTTTTAAAATGTAGCTGTACTATCAACATCTTTTTCCAGCTCCTATTTCCAATTTTTGAGAAGATGAGACCAACATTTTGGCTTTTTGTGGTGTGAGACTCCTTAAGGGCAAGATGCATATGTTTAAGCTTGCTGAAATTTAAGATACTATTTTATTCTTACCCCAACCCACAAAATAGTTTTTTGTGAAGTTTATGAAATAAAATTAATACCTTCATTTAAGATAACATTTGGCTCATTATATTATCTAACAGCCAGCTATATGCCCATGCATTCCTATAAACAGGATTGCAACTATAGTGGCGAGAACAGATTGGGAAACATATATGCCAATTTAATACAGTAAATCCAAACTAAGAATTATAAAAACTGCTATAATCTGTTTTGGAACATTATATTGGGACAAATAGTCATAAAGTTTTCATTTTTACAGTTTGCTTTATTATAAATCAAACTAATTTGTCTTGCCTCAGGTATAAAAGTTGGGGAAACTACATCTGATAAACTTTTCACTGTAACTGAAGTTGAATGCTTGGGAGCCTGTGTAAATGCACCAATGGTACAAATAAATGACAACTATTATGTAAGTAGGAATAAACCTTAGATCTTTTAGTGTATCCATTTTGTATATGTTTGTTGCCTAGAAAAATTAAATTAGCATAAATGACAAGTTTCTGTCGTATGGGTTTTCATACGATATTCTAATGAACAGAATAGTTTACTGAAATTAATTTTATATGAATTAGATCAGTGGTTCTCAATATTTCATTTGTTGTTCCATCATGATAAAAAGAAAAAGATCACTACGTTTTCAAGAAGGAAGTTTATAAAGTTTTAGGCAATTTGCAGGGAACTTTTCTCTATCGGAATGTGTCCTTTGAACTATTCTATGCATTGTGTTTATATGATGCTTTCCTATTGATTGATTGGTGTATTGTTGTGCTGCCAAGTCCTTGGCTCCTAAGTACCTGGTAAGCTGGTGGTAAATCAGGACTCCTGTTGACTGACAAGGGGCCTGTTTCCCAGATTTCAATCATTTCCTGGCTATCTTTGTACCTACACAGCTAACAATCTTAGTAGCTGCAAAATGGAATATATGTCCTTGTTCATTGCTATGTGAGACTTCCGATGAGTTTGAGTCTACTTTTCTGACTACTTGCTTGTGTTCTTGCAATCTCCCTGTCCATCCTACAATCATGGGGCAATCCATGCAGGAGATCCAGTAGATTACATTAGAAGTATCTCCCACCTTCAAGTGATCTTTGCAATACATAATTTGTCCTCTTATGGTAGCCTCTAGGCCAGTGGTTCTCAACCTATGGGTCGGGACCCCATTTGGGGTCGAACGACCATTTCACGGGGGTCGCCAAACAACGCAGTCCGTCATTTTTTCCCCCTTTTCCTTAGCTGTGCTACTCCCTTTTATTCTATTGGCTTTTGAAAGCCAATAGAATAGACTCTCTTGAATAGAGTCTAATTCTATTGGCTTTCAAAAGCCAATAGGAATTGTCCAGGCTGTCTCTGCCCTGCTGAGCCCGCCAAAAGTCCCATTCTGCAAACGGTGCTGCACCAATTGAGTAGTCCTCGACTTACGACCGGTTGAATAGTCCTCGACTTACAACCAGTTGGGGGTCGCGGCATTAAAAAGGTTGAGAACCACTGCTCTAGGCGATATGCAATGCTCACTTTCGGATGTCAGAAGCTGTGTTCTACTGCTTCTGAAATGTTTTTGATATATCGCAGGATGTGCTATATAATTGGTCTTATACCTTGTTTCTTCATTTTTCTTCTTTGCGTGTTCTGCAGGCCTCTTATAATAAATGTTTGTGGGTACCCATTCTGCCTGAATTGTTCACGTAGGTACCTTTTCTCCAGTTAGCTTGCGGTGTACTACAGCGAGTTCTCACCCTGCCATAAGTGTTCTGACACAACTCTTTTTGTGTGACAGTGGATGGTTACTGTTGAAACTAAGTATATGTGGTGTATTGGTGCCCTTGTGATAAACCGTGGTTTCTAGGCTTCCATCTTCCTGCCTGTTGACAAACACTTCTAAAAATGATAGTTGTCTAGCTGTTTCTTCCTCCATTGTGAATTGTATGTCTGGGAAGATGGAGTTCAGTGCATTTCTTTTGATGATGACAAATGTGTCCCCTACGTTATGGCACCAAAATTTAGATGTGTAGTTTTAAAATGCACGATGTTCTAATTCACACAGTTTCTCCTGATACTGGGGATTCCATGGGTGTCCCTTTTATTTGCTCATACATTTCCCTTTTGAACATGATTGTTTTGATCTGTGTTGTACTCTTCTTCTGCTTTTTTTATCTATTGTTTGTATGCTAAATGTGGAGGGAGGGATGTAAATAGGGACACTATGTCAGAGGAGACCATGATCTCATCAGGAACCACATTATAGTTTTGGCAGCACAAGGAAACAACAGCCAATTACCAGCCATCAACACACCAATCAGCCAATAGGAAGGCACCACATAAATACAACTTATAGAATAGCTCAAAGGACTTGTTCTTGTAAGCCAGAAGTTTCCTGCGGATGGGCTCCAGCACAAGTCTGAAAGCACCGAAGATTAAACCTTTGGTCCTGGCGACTAACCCAGATTTGAACTTGTAACATTATCTTGGGACACGTGTATTTGCCTTCATTCGTGATATTTTCTGCCCTTTAACCCAGCTTGCATTCTGTCTCTGAAGCCCTGAAGTAGATGTAACAATTTTTCCAATGTATCATCAAAAATTATAATCTCATGCAGACATCCCAGGTAAATTTTGATGTGCTAAGCAACCACAGTTACATTTTAAAGCTTTAACTGATTTAAAAAATAAATTGCCTCAAAAAAGGATTTTTGCTTTTCCCCCTCCCATTGTTATCAACAATCACTTTTGTTTGTGGCAAAAAAATAAAAATAAATGAGTTATAAGAAACACCTACAATGCTCTCAAATACAAATAAATAAATCCTCAGAACTTATCAAAACTAAATTAAAATTAGAAGTAAAATGTATCTGTGTTTTAGTTAAATAAAAGAATTTGAGTAGTTTTCCAACTATGTGTGATTAAACTATTAACCTGACAGCTTATTCTAAATAGGAAACCTTCATTTTTTTTACAAATAATATTAAAGATTCTAACTACCAGCAAGAATGAGTCCTTCCATTTAAGAAGCACCTGTCATTTCAGATCCATCATGGAAGCGCCTGTTAGCGGGCATCCACTCACCTGCTGCCCGCCACATCCTCACCTTGTTGTGTTACTGCCGCATCACCAGCTGTCCCATTAAACTGAATGGGATTGTTGGTGAGTCAACAGCAGGTCAAGAGGAGCCGCTGTGGGACAGACACAACAGTTGCCCTTTAAAAAGTATGATTTAAATCAAGTTGATTTAAATCAAGCCTTTTTACTAGTTATTTGATCCTTACCAAGTAATCTTCAAGAACATTCATAAGCAGAAAGGCCACTAGAGAAACCTTAGAAGTCTTGACCTAACAAATTTCATTGTCTATTAATAGCAGCAAAAATTGCCTCGATGAGGAGCAAAGTATACGTAACAGTCTGGTTAAGGTACTCTCAAAAGTAGGTGCAGGTAGTCCTCAACTTATAACCATAATTGAGCCCAACTATTGCTAAACAAGTGAATTTTGCCCCATTTTATGACTTTGCCACAGTGTTAAGTGAATCGCTGCAGTTTTGAACTTAGTAACACCGTTGTAAGTGAGTCTGGCTTCCCCATTGACTTTGCTTGTCAGACGGTTGCAAAAGGTGATCACCTGACCCCAGGACAGTGTAGATTGTCATAAATATGAGCTAGTTGCCAAGTGTCCGAATTTTGATCACAACCATGGGGATGCTGCAATGGTTTTAAGTGAAAAACAGTCTTAAGTCACTTTTTCAGTGCTCTAGTAACTTTGAATGGTCACTAAATGAAAGGTTGTAAGTTGAGGACTACCTGTATAACACAATTCACACCTAAAGTCTTGGCACTGAGGGCAAATTGGTCATTAGTGTCATTGGCCTTATGACTAGGCAGGAATATATAGGTAATGCCTATACTGATTGACAACATACAGTAATGGGAAGGAAAAATCATGAATATGACTCCTGCAGGAGAGCATATTCATCTCTGTCAATAACCATATTTTTTTTTTGTCAAGAGGTTTTGTCCATTGTGAAAACATTATCTTTGTGATTGAATCCTAATTGGCATGTGTGTCCTTAGGCATATTTATCTGACTAGATTAATTACAAGATGATGCATTATAAAGGATTTTATCATGGCAACTTGAAATGTTGTGATCCCTTTATACCAGTGTAAAACTCTTGCTCCTCATTCAGTTGGCAGTTTTGGTTGTGTACTACCTAGATTGCTTTTGTGCACTAAATCAGGTTTTTCAAATTGTATCCTGCAGAACACTAGGGTTTCATGAGAACTTGATGGGGTTCCTTGAGACATTAAGGGGGGAAAGTTCAAACATAGCAAATTTTCTCCTACTAGAGTGTTATCTCTTGTCTGGGAATGCCAGATTTTTAAAAAAAAAAAAATTAATCGGTTCTATAAATTGAAAAAGCTTGAAAATCCCTGTGCTAAATCACATGTAGTACTCCAATGAGAGTATGATGTTTTTTACTAAGTATGTAGAATTCAACTCAATTGACACAATAAACATATAGACAGATTTTCAAATTTTCCTTTTATACCTTCAGTTGGACAATTAAGAAATCTATCATTCTCAGATATCTAATTTTGCCAGTACTGTATTCTGTTGCTAATATAACTGATTATTAACTATGCATTTGATATAGACACAGTAAAATACATTATGCGTATATTTTTAATTTTCAGAATATCACAAAAAGTCACCATTGAAAGATAGGCAGCCATATAAATGGAATAAAATATAAGATAGTCTAATAACTTCTGAAGTACAATTTTTATAATCTGTAGCAAAAAAAAGAGTTCTATAACATGTTAAATACAATAAACATACTCATAATGGAAGAAAATGACATATATTTAATACGTGTAATATTTTCATTTAATTTTACAGGAAGATCTGACAACAAATGACATTGAAAACATAATTGATGAATTGAAAGCTGGAAATATTCCAAAACCTGGACCAAGGTATTTTATTTGCATAATAAAATAAATACCATGAGAAAGCAAGAAAAAAAACTACTAAAACAATCCTGAGGATGTAGAACAACCTCCAAGCTTTTGGGCACCAGGGACCGGTTCTGTAGAGAGATTTTTCCGCAGATCAGAGGAGACATGGTTTTGCAGGCTGTCTGTATCACATGGATGGGGCTTCACGTATTTGTATGGCCCGGTTTCTGGCATGCCATGGCTCAGTGCTGGTCCCTGCTGTAGAAAGTTCTCGGGATATATACTTCAGTATGAGATTAAATATAAAATCTTATTACCAAGACATTTTCCTTTTTATGTTCCATGCTATGGTGGCCTATAAGAAGCTGCTTTTTAATTTTTAAGGAGATGTTTGTAGGCATTTTTGCAAATTAATATCAAATATTTGCCAAATTTTATTGGAGAGAAGACTGCTTTTCTTATATATAAAATATTTTTGTTTCTAAATATGCTAACATTCTGCGAAGAGTTTAATTTGGTAGCCCTATATCCCCAAATTTATTTCAGATGTTGTATGACCTTTCTGATCAAAGTTTCAGCCAACAATGATCAACATATTTTGATGTTGTATAGGAAAAAGTTAATTAAATGCGTTTGGTAGGTATACTGCACTGTGCATCATTGATTTGTGATCACCATTTGATTAATTTTCATCAAATTCTGCTTTTTGAAATTTCAGGGTTTTTTAGCTGTTGAGAAACCATTTTCATTTGTTACTTGATGTTAACGCTGTTTCTGTTAAAAACAAAGATAGATCTACAGCACCTGTGTCAAACTCGATTGCGTCATGTGACGTATCGTGACTTTTTTTGCCTTTGTGGAGCCAGGGTGGGCATGGCCTGCGCATGTCGCATCTGGCTCACAAGCCACCAGTTTGACACCCCTGATCTATAGGAAATGTGGGATAGTATTCAAGATGGAAAAAAGAAAGTGATGTTATTAGTCATAGATACTAATCTTGTACAGTTTCTCTTAAGTAATTCATACTGATGTCAGTGGGATTACACTCAAGCAGACGTTTACAGAACCTCATTGTTCAAGCAGTCCTCAATTTATGACAAGTTGCTTAACAACTGTTAAATGTTACAATGGACCTTGCCAAGGATATTTCTGACCCAATTCTAATGGTCAGCCCCCCCCTCCAGGGTCATATGACCATATTTTGGGCAGTCAACTGGCCTACATTTGTAGCTTCCTGCAGTCACATTTGCTGGAATTTACAACTGGCATTTATTTCTGGTTTTCAACAAAGTTGGCCATTGTCAACAGTTGCTTAACAATCACTGCAAAAAGGTTGTAAAATTAGGTTGGTAATGTGGTGACCCACTTTACAGCTCTCATGATAGACAAGCTTCATTACAGTAATTAAGTCAAGCATTATTGTAATCAGAATATGTGTACATTTAACAACTAGAAAGCCCCCAACTTCACATTTTTATTTCTTTCCATCACATTCTATCTTGTATTGAACTAAAGATGCTTAAAATAAGTCATCAAAAATTGAAACAGATTTTTGTGGATGTTTCAGAATGACTGAAATTATACAGAGAATGACTGAAATTATACAGAACAATGTTTAATATTGATTTTTTTATTTCTTTTTAGAAGTGGACGTTTCTCTTGTGAGCCTTCTGGTAGTCTGACTTCTCTGACAGAACCACCCAAAGGACCTGGTTTTGGAGTTCGGTCAGATCTTTAAAACTATTGTTCTAAGTGTAAAAATCATTGAAAAAATAAATTCTAAAATATGGACAATGGAAATTCAAGTTTAAAGTTATTTTAGGACAGCTGCTAAACATATGTATTTTATTTATTAAAAACAAGAAATGGAAGAAATCCAAAAATTCCAGTTATTCAGAAGCAACAGTATTGATTAACTATATTTATAATTATTATTGAACAGTTATGTAGATATCTCACTCCCTGTATTATATGTGACACACCAGTGGTGCATAAATATAATGGAAATGATAGTATATTGCTCACTAATTATCAAAAAGATTTTTGCGAACAAAAATGAAGATCTTTGGCATCCCACAATACAGTTAATTAGTACACTGATGAAGTAGCCAGAATGCTATAAAAATTATTTGGAAATAATGGCACAAGAGGAATTTTTTAAAAGTATGATTCAAGGCAAAGTTAGACTAATTTTAGTCTCCAAAAGAGCAGGTCGATGACTTGTGGATCCTCCTGGACTCACAACTAAATAGCAGGTGGAGGAAAGGGCTGAAGGCTTTGCCCAATTCCAAATGCACTAATCCTGCCCCTAACCTGGAGCCAAAGGATCAAAAGAACTTAACTCATATCCTCATTTCCATATGCCTAGAATATTGGAATGTTCTCTATATAGGGCTGCATTTGGTAACTTGGTTGGGAACCTGCTAACCTCTATGCTTTGGGCCTTGCACTGATTTGCTATTACTTTTGAGAGCATTGCCTTTCCACAAGCTACTAAAAATTGAGTTGGTCTGGAAAGTCTTTCAGAAAAGAACTGACATCATCATAATGACTATTGTGTTACTGTGCTCTTATTGTTTTTATTATTCATTTATCATAGGTGTTTAATTTCTGATTATGTACGTGAAGTGCTGTCCTTTTAATTGTGGCAGCATACAAATCAAGTAGACAAATAATTATTATATTAAGATGGTATATCTATTAATGCCAACTATAGCTATTTTTGAAGTAAGTATCCAGCCAAGCTGATTACCTAAAATTTAAAAATGTAGACAATCCTGCTTCAGTTTGGGATTTTGTATTATAAATATAAATTTTAAATTGTGTACATCACCCAGAAACATACATAAAATAAAGTTAGTAAATAAATAAATGAGAAAAACAAGTTTTTTTAAATTTCTGATCAACAGCAAAATGAATTAGTCATCGATTTGTCAATAATGATGTGCAGTCTGCAAAAAACCAAACTATATCAGATAGATACAATGAAAGAACTAAGCAATAGGTTTTATTGCACATCCTCCCAATAAGATATTTTGGAACTGCTTTGTGGCATAGTTTGGGTCAGAATCTTAAATTCTTCTGTTGATTGCCATAGTTCTGAAGATACCCATATATTCTTGTAGCTTTCTATTGTGGCAATGATCATAATGCAATCTAAATTCATCTTCTATTAGAGTTTCTTATAAACAGGAAAAATCTAAAGTATTTTGAATACTAATATACCTATTGTATAGAATTTCAGTATAGTCCTTGTATCTTGCTGATTTTTGAACTGGTCATCTGTCAAGTTGGATCTTTTAGTATACCACATTCTTCTGGGTTCAAAAATCTTTTGGAAGGCTTGCCCTGTTTTTCCATAATCTGTTTCTATCCTCAATATCTTTACAGATGTCATTATAATTCTGCTTGTCTTTTCTCTGAAATTTTTTATTAAGTTTCTTTCCATGATCTCTGGTTTTCTTAGTTTTGACTTATCTCTTCTTGGCAATTTTCCATCATCTGTTCTGACATGCAGTGTTCATCTGCTACTGGATCTTTTACAATCTCTTTTCATATTGATCCGTAATAACTTATTTGATTTCAGTTCCTCTAGTTCAGTGGTTTCCAATCTTTTCTATACCCTGCACCCCTAGAACGCTTCTGATTACAAAAGTTTGAAATAACAGTAATGAATTATGCATATACACTATAATTTTGAAAAGCCAAAGTTTTCACACCCCTGGAATATCATCTCACACCCCCGGTTGGGAACCCCTACTATAGTTCCTTATAAATGGTGTTCAAGTCTTGGCTAGTCTAGTGAAGAGAAGGACCTGATAGTAGTGTTCCAATATTTTAAGGACTATTAACAGAGAGGAGGTGGTCAACCTATTTTTCAAAGCACCTGAAGGCCAGACAAGGAATAACAGATGGAAACTGATCAAGGAGAGATTCAACCTGGAAATAAGGACAAATTTCCTGACAGTGAGAACAATCAACCAATGGAACAGACTGCCTTCAGATGTTGTTGGTGCTTCATCGCTGGAGGCTTTCAAGAAGAGACTGGACTGCCATCTGTCAGAAATGGTGTAGACTCCTACTTGGGCAGGGGGTTGGACTAGATGACCTATAAGGTCCCTTCCAACTCTGCTATTCTATTCTACTCTATTCTTGAAAGCAATTCTTGATGTTATCCTTGAAAAGGGTGGGCAGATGCTCAGGATATTGTAGAAACTGTTTGATTTTCTTTCAGTTTAGCATGACTTGGAACTTGTACATGAGCAGTTGATCAGCTCCTGGCCACATTTTTCTATTATAACAACTTTTCCAATGATTGCCAATAATGTAGTCCGTTTAATTTTTGTGTGCTGGACTGCCATCTGTCAGAAATGGTATAGGGACTCCTACTTGGGAAGGGGGTTGGACTAGACGACCTACAAGATCCCTTCCAACTATTCTATTTCTTATGCTATTCTATTCTAGAAAGCAATTCTTGATGTTATCCTTGAAAATGGTGGGTAGATGCTCAGGATCATATTGTAGAAACTGGTTTGGAACTTGTACATGAGCAGTTGATCAGTCCCTGGCCACATTTTTCTATTATAACAACTTTTCCAATGATTGCTAATAATGTAGTCCATTTAATTTTTGTGTACTATATCTAGAGATGTCCATATATGTAGCAGTTGTTTAGGTTGTTTGAAGAATGTGTTAGCAATAAATTATTGGATTGTTAAAAACTAAATTGTTCTGCCACAGGCCGCTATTGGGCTACAGGCTCTTGGTCAGCGGGCCGCAGAAATGGCTGAGCGGGGCGCACATGCATGGGTGCACATTCCCAACTCACGCTAGCACCCACAGCTGTGTGAATATGCATGTGGGTTCGAACAGGAATGCTAGCGCAGCGGGTGTGCACGCCCCATCTGCGCATGCATGAACGGGCACTAGCCACCGCAGGGGTGTGGCCGTTCGCACATGCGCATGGCACCAGTGTATGCACGACCACTAGTAATGGGCCAGTGGGCTTGTCCCCATTTGTGTGCATGCATGCGCACACAGTAATTTGGAAACTGCTCTCTCCTCCAGGCTGCAAGCCCCAAAAGGTTGGAGAACTCTGTCCTAGGCCATATAGTCTAACATTGTTTTCCTCCTTTTCCAATTCTGACGTTCCATTCTCCAACCACACGCAGCATATCTTGTTTGCACATTCTGTTCATTTCAGATTGAACTTGATCATAAAATTCATTAACCTCTATACTGCATCAGTTATTAAAGCAAGGCTGTCCCTTAAGTGTAAGATATATTTTGTCACTGATTAGACTCTACCTCAGTATTGTCTTCGCAATAATCCCTGTGAAATGCCATTTTTTTATTTCCTTAGTAAAAAAAAATGAAACTATTCAACTCGTTATTTCAATTCATTAATACCTGAGATGCATTGTGTAACTGATTCATTGTATTTCATTGTGTTGAGATTTTCCAGACCCATGTTTCTTATGTTCTATGTTCCCACTGTAATTTTGTTTTCACAGTTTCAGTTTTTATTTTCCTACATTGCAACTTCACGGCAACTAGATGCCCAGAACTAGACATGGCTTCAATCTAGCCATGTCCTAAAATTATTGGTACTCAAAAACCCTCAACTGTTCTCAGTATCATATTTGCTGCCATTTAGTTAAGTGCCATTTGTTCCATGGGGCCCCCCTCATCTGGGATTATAACATCAATCACTTCATTCAGGTGGCTTTTATGGTTAAATACAGGAATGACCTACTATTGCCTTTTCCCATTACAGTATGAAATGATACATTTGCAGTTGTTGCTAAAACAATCATCCATTTCCTCTTTGTGACTGCTCCCGTATATAAATCCCTGCCTGCTTTAAAAGGGCACCTAGGATGACCTTCACATCCCAGATGTTGTAGCTATATCATACTGTTGTAAATTCCTGGCATTCATAGCCCATTCTCCCAGAAACAGCTACACACCCATCATGATGAGGCAACATAGCTTGACTTGGAGGACACATATATAAATAAAGAACCTTAATACAATATTTCTTTGCCTTATTTCAAATGAATTTTCAGTTTGGTATGAATAGCTACAGATTCTTAAACTAAATCTAGTTCATCAATTACGCTAAAAATGGTATTGAAAATCTGTGTTTAAGGTCAACAACTTATGGCATTGCAAATTCAAATTCATTTTATGTATTTCTGATTATGTGTGTATAGAATGTTATAATCAAGCTAATTCAATATTCAAAAAAATTCATTTTATGTATTTCTGATTATGTGTGTATAGAATGTTATAATCAAGCTAATTCAATATTCAAAAATATATCATTTTTCTTTCATGATAAAAGAAGATTTGCTAGTTTTTTCTTATTTTGTTCTCATTTTTTTATTTAGTGGTTATATTTCAAAACTAGCTTTAAGAAAATATAATTAATGAAGTCTTTAGGGCCAAACCTAAAATAGCTTTAAGTCAGTAGCACAGCTACTGTCCTGAATAATTACTGTCATGTTCCCATTATATAAATATTGATATAAATGATATATTCATGTTGATTGAAATAGCAGTCACTTTGGCTTCAGCATATAAAAAATTTAAAAAGATTTCTGGCATTATTTCATTGGTTCCTATGAATTTGATATTTTATAGATTGTCTTCCATCTAAAGTCTAACCAATCCTAATGCTACAAAATTTAATGCAAGTTGTGCTTATTAATCATAGAGTGAGGTGTATAGGATGACCTTTCAAGAATAGATATAAAATTATTGCAATTTTTTAAATAAATATAAATAAGGAAGATTCCAACTTATGGGTGCTGTTTCTCTGATGATTGACAAAAAACATTTATGGTACTGCTTTCAGTTACGCATGGGAAGTAAAAGAGCAGAAAAAAAGAAATGGCAGAATTGTGGTTAAAAGGCGCATTTTCAGAAGAGATATTAAAATTTAATTTTGTTGCATGTTGACAGAATAATATTCTTTACTATGTTTTTTATGGTCAAATGTGTATTATGGCAACCTATACTTTTCTATGCATTCTCTACACAACAAAATTAAGAGTATCCTCTACATGTGGGGTGAAAGAGAAAAAAACCCACATATTGTGGAGGATTAGAAAAAGGGGATGACATAAGGATATAATAAAATAAACTAATTTTAAAAAATCTATAAACTGATGGATCAAATTGTTCAGAATAATATGTCTGCATTTCTCATTTTCCAAAATAACACTACTAAATCTGTTAAAGAAGAAAATAATGCCTTGAATTATATTCAACTATATCTATTGGACGGATCTTCCCCCTTTTCTCATAAAATCTTTTTTGGAAAATTAAGGAATCTTATGGAGGAAAATTAAGGAAAATCATGGATCGAATGTAAGCGAAAATCCTACTGGAAAAAAAGTTTACATAACACTGAATGAATCATGCTGATATTTAGGCTCTATTGTTTTTTTCTTGAAATTATGGCAATGCATTCTCCTAAGATCACTTTAGCAAACTATAAAATCTAATGTTACATTTAAAAGAAATTATTCAAACCAAGATAACCATTTGGTTTTTATTATTGGAGATTTGGTTTTCTCACTGTGACATGGGCAAACATGTTTATTATTGAAATATCTACAGGGTACATGAGAGAGACAATTTGGTATAGGAATTAAGGTATCAAGCTAGAAATTGGGAGAGTTCCAATATCCTGTTATGCTTTAAACACAAAGCCAGCTGGGTGACTTTGGGCCAGTTGTTATCTCAACCCTAGAAAGATGGCAGTGGCTAGCCAAGAAAACTACAGGGCCTTGTCCAAGTATCATCAGGAATTAAAAGTTATAGAAGGCACACATTTATTATCTTTAGAGCCCAAAAAACAGGTCACTAGCTGGCAACAACTTTTTGCTAGCCCAGATCTGTAGTCCTAGTTTGTGAACAAAGTCAATTAAACAAGTCAGCTCCTTTTCAGGGCAGTTTATAAATAATTATAAAACACAAATACAATTACATTGAAAACAAATGAGGACAATGAAATGATTCCCCATCTTTCTGAATCTCTTATTTCAAATTAATATCTTAACAATTCAGCTTCATCTTTGCTGCTATAGTATGTAGAATTACATCTACATTGGTAGCTGCCTAAAAACTTACTAATCATTTGCACAGGTCTGGAAGAATTCTGGTGAATTGATTACTTTTTCACTTTTTTTTTTTTTTGTATCCCACTATAAAGACCAAATAAAAAGTATTAATATTTTCTTTGGAAATTAATATTAATAACATGGGGATGAGGATATTAACTCTAAAAGTCACTATACTGTAATCCTTTATGCTCTGTTCATTCAGTCCTGAAGTTTTAAATAGCCAAAACTGTTTTATGTAATTTAAGGAGCCTCTCAGTTAATACTACAAATAAGATTAGCCAACTATCCTTCAACACAGTTAATTCTATGACCATTCCATAATGTCTACTCTGTTACAGCTAAAAATTTGCTATGAAATTCAAAGCAGAGGTTCCTACCTATCTGCTATATGTGTTCATGAATACTGAAACAACAATCTTATAGAACTATTGCCCATATATCTATTTGTATACAAATAGTGCTGTATACATCACCTAAATACATTGTGTATACAACACATTCTAAATACAAAACTTTATGGTCCAAAAAGGAAAATATTTTTACTATAGATTCATCCTAAATAGGCTCTTAATTTAACAGTAAAGATAACTTCATAAATCGTCGTTTAACAGTTGTTGTAACCTAGGGCCATCACTGAGTATCCACCAATCATTTTTAACTAAGGTTAAATTTAATAATATGGTACTTGATAACTTACCAACATATAGTACTTTGATTTAAATCTTAATCTAAAGCCCATTTTTCTAATTCAAGCAGAGAGAGGTACAGTTCACGATCAAACCACTGAAGAGTGTTCCGAGCAGCCTTTCGAACTTGCAATGTCGGCATCCACTCAAAAGCTTCCAACAGAAACCGGTTGTTCGTGACACTATTACTCAGGACAAGCAAAAGGATTACATGGAAGTCGGCCTACAATGACATGTCAATAGTGCACTGAACGCCATTCGTGGATTTCACTCATCCACCCCCCCCCCGAAAAGAAAAAAAGGAGGGCAGTCTGCAACAAGTACAAAGGAAGAAAAGAACCCGAATGCGGTTCAACACCTGTTCCCGGACGACTGTTTTATTAGAATGCAGCAGAGCTCCTCAAACCAGCCACGCATGCGTGCTCAGTGTTTATTAAAAATTCACTGCGCCACCGTCCCCGAAAAGCCCTTCCCTTGGGAAGGGAGTATCCTGAACGACTGACTCCTAAACGTAGGTGCTCCGGTACCTGTTCGAGTCACCTGGGCAAGCCAAGTCCGTAGGTTCTTCTCTCCCCTCTACGCGTCTTTACAAAACCACCCCAGCCCCCGCCGCCGGTATTTCGAGAAAGTTCTAGCCGCACCACCCAAGAAGAGAAGATGATCTCGACGCTTGCGCACTGACACTCACTTTCTCCGCCCTCTAATCGTAACCGTGCCCGTTATTCTTTTTTTCTCCTGGTCGGTGGTTATGTTAAGAACCGAGTTAAATTACTGCCGCGGAACACCTAGAAATGCTAAGAACGGGCAATTATGACGTTGGCCTTTACTCCGAACTCTCCTCACCTCCCTTCGTCTCGCTAATGCTCACGATCGTACCGCGTGTCTACCCGTTCCTCTCGCCCGACTCCCGTCACGTGAATGGCGTTTCCACCAATCCGAGAGGCGAGTGACAAACCGACATACTGACGGGCTTGAGGGAGGGGGAGAGGCGAGGGAAAGGGGAGCGACTGAACTGAGGGGAAGGGGTGTCGTCCAAACCCGACTATTACCGTAGCTGTTGGAACGGGGTTGGAACTCGGGGCGCCGCTCACAGGCAGCGGGTGGCTGAGCAGCCTGGCTCTCTTGGAAAGGACAGCCCGCCTTGTCAGGACTCTTCTCTCTTCCGCTGAGGAAAGGTAAAGAGAGGAAACTGCCACTGTCGCTACCGCAGATTCGGGTCCGGGGAGGGGGAATGAAGGCGGCGGCGACAGTAATTAGGTGGATGACACCCCGTGTTAATATAGCCCTGAGGTGAGGGGGGAGAGGTGGCGGGAATAAAAACAGCCGCGGTAATGGTTTAACGCTGCTCCGAGATTTTTTCTTTCGCTTCCTTCTGCCATATATAGATATATGTGTCTGTCAGACTCGCTCTTTTCTGCAAATGTGGCTGTTTTTCTGTGGTAGAGGCGAGCGTGTATGTCCGCCCCTCACAGCCTCAACCCGTCTATAGATGGACGGATGGACGGACGTCGGCGTGTGTGTGTGTATATATGTATGTATATGTGTATGTATGTATGTATGTGTGTGTATGTGTGTATGTGTGTGTATATATATATATATATATATATATATATATATATATATATATATATATATATATATATGTATATGTATATGTATATGTGTGTGTGTGTGTGTGTGTGCGCGCGCGCGTGTACGTGTGTAGACCCGGGTCAGTGCACAGTTTACGGTGGTGCACCCCGCGAATCGTCCCTCTTGGGGTCCTGTGTGTTGTATGCTGAGCGGGAGTCGTTTTGCTCCCCCGGCGCGTTTGAGAGGAAGAGAGAACACTCCTCCTGCTTCCCACCCCCTTTCTTGCATTGCCTTTCCTCGTAATGGAGGTACTGGAGCCGGTTTGCTTTCCTAGAACGGGCACGAATCTTCTCAGCTCTCCCGACACGCCTTCTTCTCAGCCTCCACGAAAAGGCTGCATTCTCTGGAACCGTCGCTCGGTAGTCAGCAGTCCCTGCTTTCTTGCACTCTCCCAGCCTGTCACCTTTGGCGCGGCTGCAGCTGGAGCCATGGCCGCCGCTGCTGTCACTTCTTCTCCGTACTTGGGGGCTGGTCCCTGATACGCGTTCTCTCCGTGTTCCCCATCATATACTAAGGCTTCTGTTTTTATGGGCCAAAGTAGGGTAATTCATAGCAATCCCAGCGCTGCTAACTCCCGAGTTTACTGGGCTGCAGCATTGTCAGCCCTTTTTAAAAGGAAGAGGCGGTGGTTAGCGGGCGCGCGCGCGCCCCCGCCAGTGAGTGAGTGCGTAGATTTCTACAGGCTGCTGAGGGGGGGGGGAGAGAAAGCATAAACGCCGTTTCTAGAGCTTACGGAAATAGTTATTGCCAGCATCATTCTGATGGATAGTGTGTGCTAGGAGTAAAATATTATTTAAAAACTGCGCCTTAAGTTCAGGCAAGCCGGTTAACCTAGTTTGGTGCAGGACGTGTCTCTTGGCTGGGTCTTAAGACTGAATAAAATATTTATGTCAAAAGTCTTTTACTTTAAGTAGCTTTCTGTTTCTTGCTTGACTTTTGCCAGTTCTTAAATTCGTATTTAACTTTTAAAAGTGAAATGGCTTGAAAATAAAAAAATAAAGGAAAAGAAGTCCACTCTTTGGCTAAAAATGGCCAGAGTTTTTAGAATGAGAAAAATCGCATATTGAGAACCATGGTGACATTTGGTGAATGTTGCTAGAGTACCGGTATTAGCTATTTCTATGTGCTTTTAGACAAAAAGCTCTCCAAGCTTGCAACAGTGAATACTTAATGCAATTATACTGAAATTATATAGTAATGAATTATGTAATTAATAAATATACCTGGAAGACAGGAAGTGCTGTTGTAGAAGATTTGATTAGCTCTCATTTGCTTCTGTGCCTCACACAAGCCGTTACTTTTGGATCATACTGCCTGAAAATAATTGCAGATGTCACAGATGTGTAATGGTTTTAACTGGTCTTTGAGGTGGTCCTTTATCTGGTTCCTGAAATTCCAGACTGAAAGCTGCTGTTTCTGTCTATACTGAGAGTAGAGGAATGTCATTTCCCCTGAAATACATAATGTATTCATCACATATATCTCAATATAAGAACCACTTGTTTGTCTGTTGTCCTAAATGAAAAGTTTCTCTTCCTTTTGCTCACAAATATTCTGGATTTTTTTGTTGTTGTTGTTTCTTATCCTTTTCCTTACTATTCATCTTGCCCTGTATATTAGAGTAAATCACACCTAAAAATTTGGTTAGTTGTGAAATGGGGTGCAAAGAGGTTTTGTAATTTTTTTTGTATATGATACGTACTGGTAATTGTGTGCCACATGGCATGATGTGAAAATATCATACAATGTTGGCAATATTTCATGTGGCAGAAGAAAACGAGATTATAAATGCCATGGTAACTCTGTCAGATTTGACCAGAAAAGATAGTTCAGGATTGATGACAGATAAAACTTGCCCTTAACCTGCTGTTTCCTTAGTTGAGCTCTTTTCAAGATTATTAACCAAAGTCCCAATCATAAATGTATTGGATTATTGCATTATATTTGTATTTGAAATTGTTATTTAGCTATACATAAATGTATTTAGGGGAAAATTTGGTAAGTTCAGCTTGAAACTAATATTCATATAGAGATAAATGTTTAATAGTTGTAAGTAGGCCAAGAAGGTTGTAGCAGCTATGTAAATCAACCCACCCACCCACCTACCTACCCACCCCTGAGATGAATGCTCCCTCATTCTGCTGTTCAGAATCAGTAACATGGACTACTGTACCACAACATAAATATGTGCTGGAATAATGGAAAAATGATTCAGTATTTCTGATAATCATGTTTGTGGTTAAGAATATTCATTCTTATTTGTTCTGAATACTGTTCATATCAATTCTAAAAAGTATTCTACATGTATAGGAAAAGTGTTTCACTCCACTTAAAAGATCAGGTAGATGGTATGGAAGAACTCTTGGATCCGTTAGAGCAGTGGTTCTCAACCTTTTTAATGCCGCAACCCCCAACTGGTCGTAAGTCGAGGACTACTCAACTGGTGCAGCACCGTTTGCAGAATGGGACTTTTGACGGGCTCAGCAGGGCAGAGACAGCCTGGACAATTCCTATTGGCTTTTGAAAGCCAATAGAATTAGACTCTATTCAAGAGAGTCTATTCTATTGGCTTTCAAAAGCCAATAGAATAAAAGGGAGTAGCACAGCTAAGGAAAAGGAGAAAAAAATGGCGGACTGCGTTGTTTGGCGACCCCCGTGAAATGGTTGTTCGACCCCAAATGGGGTCCCGACCCACAGGTTGAGAACCACTGCGTTAGAGGCTCAAAGTCTCAGGGGCTTTTACTTTTTATTTATTAAAAGAATGGAATGGAAGGGAATGGGAATGGGATCTTGGAGGCCTTCTATTCCAGCCCCCTACTCAAGCAAGAGGACCTATACCAGTGATGGCAAACCTTTTAGAGACTAAGTGCCCAAACTGTAACCCAAAACCCACTTATGTATTGTCATGCGCCGGGTGGGCGTGGCCCATTGGGTGTGTGTGGCCAATTGAGTGGGCATAGCCCATTGGGTGGGTGTGGCTGCGGTGGTAACGGCAGACTGGGTGGGACTAAAAAGTTCAATCAATCAATTCCAACTTTGCAAGATCTTTTTTTTGCCCGCGAGAAGTTGAAATTGATTGATTGAACCTTTTTTTTTATTTTGCACACGGCGGCAGAGGCCTAAAACAAAAAGGTTTTATAAAACCCAGCTGAAGGCCTAGGACTGGGGCGACGGCACGCGTGCCCACAGAGAGGGCTCTGCGTGCCACCTGTGGCACACATGCCATAGGTTCACCACCACGGACCTACACCATCTCAGACAAGTGACTGTCTAGCCTCTTCTTAAAAATCTCCAGTGATGGACACTCACGATTTCTGGAGGCAAGCTGTTCCCCTGGTTAATTGTCCTCACTGAGGAAGTTTCTCTTTATTTTCAGGTTGAATCTCTCTTTGATCAGTTTCCAACCATTGTTTCTTGTCCTGCCCTCTGGAGCTTTGGTGAATAACATGACCCCCCTCTTCTTTGTGGCAGCCCCTCAAATACTGGAATACTGCTATCATGTCTCCACTATTTCTTCTTTTCTTTAGACCAGCCAAACCCAGGTCCTGCAGCCGTTCTTCTTATATTTTAGTCTCCAGGCCTTTAATCATCTTAGTTGCTCTTCTCTTATAGCTTGTGACCGGCTTATTTTGTAAAAATTATTCATGTTCTCATAACTTCCTATGGACAATTACAATGATTTGTCTGTGTCTTTGGAAATAGTGCAGAAACTACAGTTCATTCAAATCAGCATCTATGCCAGCTGGACTTACAGGTGCAAAATATATTATGTTGTTCTTTGCAGCCTGTCTATAGTCCATTTCCAAACCCAGTTCAAAGTATTAGTGTTTAATTTACAAGCTTTAAATGGCTTAGTAACTTAGGAACATCTTTTCCTAATATTTACCTATTTGGATTCTAGTGATCTGTGAATAAGGCTTATCTTCAAGTACCTTTGCCAAATTAAGTGAGGCAGATAATCACAAAAAGGACATTTTTAGGACAGGTGCTTTGTTTATGAAACCTGAAAACAAACCTGGAAAAGTTTATCACCTACCTTATTGTGTTTCTTGGATCAATAATTTTATTCCAATTTGTAGTATTGTTATTCTTTATTACTATTCTTGGTTTTCATCTCTACTGAGTGATGTAGAAATGTAGCATACAAAATAAATCTAATAAAATATTGATATTATTGTATTAATCAATTTAAAATTGTTGCCAAGATGAAAGATAAACTCCATTTATAGGCTAGTTGTTTTAAATAAGCTTCAGATTTGTTTTCTTCTTCTCCCTTATATATTTTGATTCATAGACACAATTTCTGCATG